AGGGAGCTCACTGATGAATTACTTTGGTGACATCAACAACTGCTATCAAAACACTACCATAAAATCCAAAATTACATCTATTGCCAGATTTTTCTCTTTACTTCTGGACTCATTTATCCAACTGCCTCCTCCACCTCTACACCTCAACTTGAATGTCAACTTGAAACTAATTAATTACTTTGTTCTTAGATTGGCTTTCCCCTAATATCTAAAGACTTGTCTTAAATTCTTACTTTACATTATCAGCACCAAATCTGAATGGGTCTAGTATAGGAACTCTTTGAGATAAGAAACACATATGTTTTTGAGAAACCACAAATGAAACAATTATCATAGCTGTAAAAAAAATATGCCCATAAACAAATAACAGTAAAAATCTTAGAGGTTTTAGGTAAAACTAGAGAATGATGTTAAATAAAATCATTCTGTTAATTCAACAAGAAAATATATAAACCTAATTCTAACAAACTTTCTATAAAAGAGAACCAATTGTCAGAGTTGAGAGTAAAAAGTAGAAGTTTTACAAAGAGGTGAAGCTAATTGCAGAATGTGCTCACCACATGTCATCAAGGCTCCCCAAATCACACCCACCCCCCTTATTCCACTTAATATCACCTAAGGTGAGGAGTTCAAGACCAGCCTGGCCAACATCGAAAAAGCCCATCTCTACTAATAATACAAAAATTAGCCTGGCATGGTGGCAGGCAATTGTGAGGCAGGAGAACCGCTTGAAGCCAGGAGACAGTGAGCCAGAATCACACCATTGCACTCTAACCTGGCAACAAGAATGAAAACTCCGTCTCAAGAAAAAGAAAAAAAAATTCCTTTGGGAAGGCCTTCTACATTCACAGCTCAACACAAGACTGGACAAAAGGGTATGGGATCATCACCAGACCTTTGGCTTTTACAGCTTGACCTATAAGGACAAAAGAAAAAGGGATATCATTTAAACACAATTTGTAGGTAAGAATAATTGAATCTGTATTGCTCTTTAAGAATACT